CATACGAGGAAGTTTACGCCGCCCGTTCTCAGGAGGAAAAGAAACACACAGACACAATTAATCCCCGATTCCCCAGAAAATATGGGTAAATATGGGAAGTGGGGGGGAATACAGAAACCCAGAAAATATGGGAAAATACGAGGGATCTTTTTATTTGTGTGTATTTATTTGTGTGTCCCAGGGCCCCTTCACGTTCGCCCCGGGGGAGTGCGTGCCCCACAGAAGCACCCTGTGCCGGTGTGCCCTCCAGCGCCCCACGAGGGGCAGGCCCCGCGGCGCGAGCCCGCGCGGCCTCCGCGCAGGTTCTCGCCCTCGCCCTCCCCCCCCCCCCGCCCCCTCGCAGCCCCGAGCGGGTTCCCAGACCCCCTCGAGTAATGAAAAAATCATGACGGGATGTTTTTCCTAATTTTCGGCCTCCGGGGGCCCTCACCGGGCCTCGGGAGCGTCAAAAAACGACTCAGGATGCAAAGCCGGTCATGGGGAAAGGGTCCAGACCTCTGGGGGTCGACGTAATGAAAAAATCATTACGTCGGGGGTCTGGATTCTCAGAGGAGGAAGAGGTGCCCATGCTGCGACCCCTCCCTCGCTCTCGCCACGAGGCCCCCGTCGCCGCCGCTGGATGCGCATCGAAGCCCTGGTCCGAACGCGCCCCTGGAGAGGCCTGGGGAGCGGCGGCATCGGTAATGTCTGGCTCCCCCAAAAGATGACCAGAGCGGCTTCGGCGGTGCGCCCAGGGAGGAAGGCAGACGGGGCCGTCATTCTCGGAAGGCCGCGGGGCTCCGCAGAGCCCCCCTGCCTTCCAGGGAGCCTTCTCAGAAGAAGCCTCTCAGCCTTTGGGCCACAGAGTGCTTCTCCCCTCTGCCTCCTCAGAGGCCTCTGCTCCTCAGAGCCCCTCTGCCTTCTGGGCCACAGAGGGCCTCTCAGAAGAAGCCTCTCGGCCTCTGGAGCAAAAGCCGGCCCCGCCTGCGCGCCCCCCTGGGCGCGCCGCCGACGGAGGAGGTCGGGGGGGGGGGCGCCGCATCGCCGATGCGATGTGGCGCCGTTTGGAGCCCAGTTTGCTCCATCGGGACGTCGCTGGTGCATCGGCGAGGCGGCGCGATCCTCCAATCTCATGTGCTCCGGCCCTCTCTGGGAGGTCTCCAAGACGAGGACAGCCTTCGTCGGATGACCGGCTGCCTCGCTCCCTCCTCGCCCTGTTCGCCCCCCACCTCGTCAGTCTCGGCAGTCGTCTGCATCTTCGCCCTCCTCGTCGCCCTCGTCGCCGTCGTCGCCCCCGGCAGTCAATGCGTTGGGAGGAGTGCCACTTTGTTAGGTCTCGGGAAGCGCTCGGGGCTCCCTCGTGTGTTTCCATCGGGTGCTCCTTGTGGAGCCTGGCGCAACCGGGGCCCAAAGAGGGCCTCGATCTCCGTCGAATGCCCCCCTGCGGCTTACGGCAAGACTTCGGCCGCGTGCATGTATATTCCTCTCCCTCTTCTCCCCATTATTTAGATGTTCGTGTTGGGGACGTTCTCTGGGGGCAACGTAACTGTCTAGTTCGACTCCAGCTCGACTCCAGTTCGACTACAGCTCGACTCAAATCCGACGCAACAGCATCGACGCACGAGTGAAGCCGGTCAATCCAGGATTGTCCCCAGATCCAGCATCTCCGGGCAGAAGCTCTGGCTTGGCATGTCGCGCCGCAGGTTCCACGCTTCGGCGCGACGCGCTACCCACGTCCCAGTCCCCAGGCGTCAACACCTTGAGCCTTTCCCTGCCCCCCGCCCCTCGGAGCGGAGCGACGCGTTGTCCGCTCGCAGGGCATAGAGCGTGTCGCCGGGGCCGCCGCCGCGACACGCTAAGCAAAAAATACTGAGGCCCTCGCACTTGGGGGGAGGCGGCCTTTGGTTGCCGAGGCCTCGACCGACGAATTATGCAGTTCTTGTCCGATCCCAGCGATCCGAGGCCTCCTCCTCCTCCTCCTCCTCCTCCTCCTCCTCACCCTCCTCACCCTCCTCCTCCTCCTCTCCCTCCTCCTCTCCCTCCTCCTCCTCCTCCTCCTCCACTTCCTCCTCCTCCTCCTCCTCCTCCTCCTCCTCCTCCTCTCGCTCGTCGTCCTCGAGCAGGCCCTCGCACGGGGCAGGCCGAGGAGACGTCGGCCCCTGCGCCGGCCCGTCGCGGGCGGGGCGCCCCTGCGGAGCCGGCCCCCGCGCTGTGCCGCTTCCGCGGACGACCCGTGCGCACCGTGCAGTCGCGACGCCGAAGTGAGGACCACTAAGGACGACGACGACGACGACGACGACGACGACGACGACGACGACGACGACGACGACGACGACGACGATCACGACAACGACGACGGCGGCGGCGACGACGACGACGAAGACACGACGACGACGACGACGACGACGACGACGACGACGACGACGACGACGACGACGACGACGACGACGACGACGACGACGACGACTTTGGACTCGTTTTGAACAGACCGAAGAAGAAAAACGCTACAAACATAGACTTTCGGCGCTCCGCGCGGATTTCTTGGATCCGCGCTGGGGCCTCCAGGCGGCGCCTCCGGTTCCGCCCCTGGCGGGTTCCGTGCGCCAGGGAGGGGGGTCCAGCGCAAATCCAAGAAATCCGCGCGGAGCGCCACCAGTTCATGTTTATGCTGTTTTTCTTCTTCTGACAGAGCTTGGGTTGCGACCCGCTCGTTTTGCTCCCAGCCATCCCCTTGACCCCCCCAGCTTAGATGCCTACGCATCATCGCAGCATGCCTGGGCATGGCCTTGTGGACACCTAGGTCTGCCACTGCTGATGCCTGGGCATCTGCAGGGGTATGCCTACGCATGCATCGAGGGATGCATCCATGGACGTAGCTGGGAGTAGCTGGGCGTAGCAGATGCCTAGGTATCGACCTGTTGATGCCTGGGCATTCAAATCGTGATCTTTAGGCATCACGCCGGCGATGCCCAGGCATCAGCAGAACGGTGCGCAGAGTAGGCATCGATGGTACCCCTGGGACTCAGACGCCGCCTGAGGTGGGGCCAACTTCTTGCACTTGCGGGCCGCTGTCTCCCCCCCCTTTCCTCCCCGCGCAGCATTGGTCTTGGCCGCCAGGCTCCTGTGGGCCATTCATGAACTGGATTGTGGCCAGCAGGGCGCTGCCAAGTCGTTCACATGCGCGGGCAAACTCATCGTGCATGTGTGCCTGTTCCCGTCAGGACGCCGATTATACGGAGCGGCCTCCTCACCAGTTCGCTCCACTCGGTGCACATGGATATCGATAGCGTCATTGTCGTGGATCACGGGCGCAAGAGCTCCAAAGGCGAGGCTCGCATCTCATTCGTTGTTCAGTCTCTTCCGGTACGTTTCGTGGTCGCTCCCGCTGCGCCGCTGGCTGAGAACCCAGCAGAATCGGAGCGCCTTGACCTGGAACCCGAGATGGCGGCTGAGACGGGGGTGGAGGCCCGCAGCCAGCCGCCAGGCGAGAGCAGTGTGGCTGGTTCGCGTTCGGCGGCGGCGGAGAGCGAGCTTCGCGCCGCGGACGAGAAAGTTATTGCGAAGGAGCGGCTCCAGCAGCACGCGACGGCCGCTGGCTGCCCAGCAGCCAGAGGAGAAGCGCACGCTCGCTCAAGGCATGGCCGCCCGCCTTATCGGCCTCAAGGCCAGGCCATTGCTGAATGGCGAAGGCACCCCGCGTTTCTACGACGAGGCTGTTGTCCGCTGGGCCTTCGGAGAGGGCGCGCAGGCCGCCCGTGTCCAGGTGGCGCGTCTTGAGCCGGTCGGGCCCCGCGCCGAAAAGGCGTTCGGCTTCGCATGTTAGCAGTCCGCTTCCAAGTGCCTGCGTCGGGGCCCACTGGCGACCGATCAAGTGCTCCAGCTGTTGTACGACTTCGCCGCCGAGGAAGGGCAGCCTGGGTATGGCCGTTTTTGTTTGCCGCTCTTTGGCGACAGAAATGCATGTGACAGTCTGTGCGGCAAGGCTTCCGCTATGAGACCCGAGATCGTCTACCAGCGTGTGGCCGCTCAGCGCTCGCGCATCGCATGTTCTGGTTCCTTTCGCACGTTGCCCTCCTCCCGCCCTCGCGCCTGCTGGGGTTGCGCCAAGAGCGGAGGTTGCGTCTTTCACTGATACGGCAAACTGCAGGTTGCGTCACTCGCTCCTTCGGGCGGGTGCAGTGCTTCTGGCTTTCTTTCGGGCGAGAGCCGACGTCGAGCTCATCTGCCTTATCCTTGCATGATGTGGACACCTCAGGCGATCGTCTTCAGGGTGTAGGGAGAAAGGAAGAGGAGGGTGACCAGTGTAAACCCAAGACGCATCAGCGATATTGCAATAAACCCTCTCCACTATTCCTCTTCATAGGTCCCTACGAGGAGTCATTTCCCCCGTTGGAAGACAACGGCCTGAAAATTCTCAACCGAGCCAAAACACCATTCTTGGGACTCCACCGCCGCGGATAAACGTCGCTGTTGCGCCCTGACAATCTTGAATCGCGCCAGAGCGCCACTCCTGGGACTTCAACGCTGCGAATCCACGTGGCTGTCGCGCCCTGACAGTCCTACATCGTGCCAAAGCACAGCGATTGGGACGCCCTCACACATAATCCTTGACGCTGCTGTCAACTCTGAAGCCGAATAGGTTCGGCGCTATGGCGAGAGCCACATTCTGAAGAGGAGGCGCCCCCCATTCGTGAAGCTCCTGCAAACTGTTACACAAAAGGCGAGTGTGCGTTGCGCTAGCGCGAGAGCCACATTCGAAACATGGTGAGGAAGTCTCGGGCGAAACGCCCGCCCCGCCCTGCAGACGCGCTTCGGTGTGCGACACGGGGAATCATGCACAAGGACAAGGGTTGGAATCGGGGGAGGAGGAGAAGGACGGGATGATGCGGATGATGACGAGGAGGACGAGGAGGAGGAGGATCCAGGATCGAAAATTATTGTTCGCCCCGCAGCACGCTCGGCCCTCGGAGTGCCCTCTCCACGCGCCTCGTTTCCCCCTCGCCCTTGCCCCTTGCCCCGAGGAGGTGTCGAGCCGGGACCTGTTCGACCCCAGGCTGGCGCGATGACGACGACAACGACGACGATGACGACGGCGGCGGTGGCGGCGGCGGCGACGACGACGACGACAAAACGATGACGACGACGACGGCGACGACGGCGGCGGCGGCGGTGGTGACAATGGCGGCGGCGTCGCGCGAGCGTGGCGCGGGATGCGGTCGGGCCCACGGGGGACCATGGGTCCCGATATCTCCGTAGAGGGCGGCTGTGATCAGAGAAGGGAAGGATAGCGAGGCCACTGCCCGCTATGGAAAGCCAACGTCGCCACGGTTGTATTCGCTGCTAGTATACATTCGTGCGCTCATCCGCCCACACACATATGCATGTATACAAACATACATGCATACATGCATACATACATACATTCGTATGAAGAGAAACGCATGCTTGTAGTCGTTGTGTGGTAATGTGTATATGCGTATAGGTGTACATGCTTAGTTCGATACTGAGGACAGAGACGGGGCGATCGAGTGAGAGAGATAGGGAGGAACACATACTACTACATTACATATCGTCGGTACACGGGTCGGCGGGCAAGAAGGGAGGTCGGTCGATAGGTAGGTTGTGAGAAAACCAGTGTGTGCCTGGGTGTGCGTGTGTGCGCAAACACATGTATAGACATGTATTAACTTATGGATGTAAATAAATACACATGGGAGACAGGGAGAGGGGACAGAGAGAGAGGGATCTTTGTTCAAAGAGAGAAATAAAGAAAGATCGAGGAAGAGAGAGAGAGAGAGAGCTAACACTACATATACATATAACTATAAAGAGAGATAAACACTATATGAGGGAAATGGAGGAAGGGAGGAAGGTGCGAGAGAGGGAGGGAAGGATATATATATATAGAGAGAGAGAGAGAGAGAGAGAGAGAGAGAGAGAGAGAGAGCGAGCGAGCGAGAGTAATTGAACTGATTAGTGTGGTTGCGTGTGAGAGAGGGGGAGAGAGAGAGAGAGAGAACAAAAAAAAGGAAAGAACAAAAAAAGAAGAAACAACAACAAAAAGAGAAAGAGAGACAGACAGGGCGACAGAGATATCGCAACACTTCGGACGCGGGTGTCTGGGCCCCGTGGGTACAAGCGCCGCCTGGGCCAACCTGTGCTGACGGGAGGTTCCACATGTGAGCAGCAGGGGTGGCCGAAGGCCTCCCCCCCTGGCCCGGTCGAAAAGACTCCGACTGGAAGAGCTGGCGGGTTGTGGCGATCAGGGTGTGGCACGCCCCGTCTGCACACTTCCTGGATTCGCGGGTCGAGAGCGCACCTCTTCCGGTCGAAGCTAAGCGGGCCGCGCGAAGCTCGAATCAATCCCCGCCTGCACACCCGAAGCTGTAGAGAGACGCCGGCTCTCCGCGCGCTCTGGCATGCGCGCCACGGCGCTGCGCCGGGGCACTCCCCGCATAGCGGCCCCCGGCGCAGGCCGCGGAATGAGCTGCCAGGCGTTCCCGCAGCGCACGAGGCGCCGGCGGGCTCGCGGCTGGTGCCCCAGCTTTGAGCGTCAAGTCGCGCCTGTCGGGCCGGACGAAAGGGGGTGATTGGGGGAAAGGGGGGGTTACGAAATTTGCTGCATGCAGCTGGTTTCGGCCCCACCGAGGGGCCCATTCCTCGATACGTCGTCGCCTCTGGCGCCGGGAGGCGCCGGGAAAATCAGCTACGTGAGCTGATTCTCAAACCCCCCTTTGCTATCTCCCCCTTTCGCCCGGCCCGAGCCTGGATGGTTCCTTGGAGAGTGGCCCGAGGTGAGCAAGGCGTGTGGAAGGCTCGTTGGAGCGCTCGGCGGAGGCTGTCGAGGGGAGGGCCTCGACCGTTCCTGGATGCTCCGCGGCGTGTGTGCGAGGTTGGTGGCGCGGCGTCGCGTTCTTGCAGAGCCGCGGTGCTTGAAAGAAGGCCTGGCTCACGCTCGCGAGAAGGCTGTTGCCTGGCCGCGGTGGGGCGATGGGTGAGGGCCCGTCGCCAGTCTGTAGGCCGCAGCGTCGTCGCGTCAACCTCCCCACCCTGGTGGGTGAGTATAGGGGCCGCCACGCCCGTTCCTTGGTGGGGCGGGGCGCGCGTCTGGTGGCAGGACATGCTGCGCTGGGGAGCTGGGTGTGCCGAGGCGCTGGCCAGCTGAGCGGGTCGGGGCGACGGCACTGGCTCGTCAGGGTCCGCAGTCCGCTGCACCTCGCCTACGTCGTCTCCCAGGCGGCGGGTGGGTAGATGGGGGACGTTGTCCACGGTTGAGTGGACGAGTGCGTCTGAGTCAAGCGGAAGCTGCCCATCGCCGCTTGCGTGCGCACGCGCCCAGTGGTCTTTCCTGCCCCGTCTAGGTGCGTGGGGCGCGCAGCGGCTGGTAGGCGCGGTGCTGCTAAAGCATGCGCCTGCAATAAGAGCCTTGTGGACCCTCGTCCAGCGGGGCGCCGCCTCCTGGTGCCTGGCGGACGGCTGGTGCGGACCCTGCTCGTCCGCGTCGTGGCAGCGCGCGTGCGAGGCGTGTGGCTGGCTCAGACAGCCTGGCCTGGTGGCCCGTCTGGGGGTCTCTCAGGAGGGGAAGACACACACAGACACAATTAATCGTCGATCCCCCGGAAAATATTGGAAAATATGGGAAGTGGGGGGGAAGACAAAAACCCGAAACATATGGGAAACATATAGGGAAAGTATAGGGAATCTGTCAATCTCCGTCGGCAGCCTGCAGACACTTGGCAGCCTGAGCCGGGTGGCTCCCGCGGCCTGGCGGCTCACGTGACTTGCGCGGCTGGGAGCTGTTGCGTCCTGGTGGACGCCGTGAGGCGGTTCAACCTCGTAGGGCTGGATGCCGCCCTGACGCCCAAGAGCGTCGGTATGGCCGCCGTGGCACTGCTCGGCTCCGATGCACTCGATGCCGCAGCGGTGCCCGTGCATGTCACGCGGTGAGGGTGTGGAGCGGCCTTGTGCCCATCGGGACGGGGGGCAGCGGTATCGATCGCAGCCGATCTGGACCACTTTATCACGCAATTTGTCCTTGCAGATTTCGCACGGGTTGGTGCGGTCTGAAGGAGAGGGCGCCTGTGAATGCTGGACGCCGTGATGCTGCCCCGTGCTGCACGCAGGGTTTGGTGGGCCTGCTGTCGCTGTGGCGTCCCCGTCGCACTCCTGAGTGCCAGCGGGCCCCCTGGTGGCTGCGACGTGGTCGACGCAGGTCCTCAGTGCCCACGTGGAGACCACAGCAGACAAGTTTGCTGAAGAACATAGGAGGTCGCGTGGCCGTGCCGTGCCGGCCCCGCCGCCTCACCTCTGGCTGGCCCCAGGGGGCTGCCGAGAGGAGCCCAGCTGTCCTCCGCACTGCGCGCGACCGCGAGGTCGCTGTCATCTCCAATGAGGGGGGTTTGAGCCACTGGGTCGCGCTGCCCCGGAGGGGCCCCACCTCTCGCCCTGGCAGTGATCGATCGGGGGTGGCAAAGAGGGGGGGTGATGACTAGGTGGGATGGATATCATGGCGGGGGCCATGTTATCTTCCCAGATTTCATGGCGCCTCTTCTTATGTCAATACGTCCCCCTCCCCCTGGGCCGCGCACATGCCGCCGGCCATGCTTTGCGCCCCCCCCCCTCCACTTGGACGCCCCCCCGTTGGCCGCCCCCGAAAAGAGAGGGAGAGAGAGAGAGAGAGAGGGAGGAGGAGGAGGAGGAGGAGGAGGAGGAGGAGGAGGAGGAGGAGGAGGAGGAGGAGGA